GACATTATGGGAGAATGTTTCTGTAACGAGGCTGATCATATGTGTAGTGTCTACGATTTCCCCTTGACGTCTGAGGGTGGCTATTACCGCTTGAACGTCGTTCAGAGTGTTTCTTAGCAACCTGGAACCATCCCTGGATGGTCGCATTGATTTCAACTTGCTGATCATTTCCATGGTGACTCTATGTGGATCCCTATATTGCCTTTTCAACTGGTCAACTGCCTTTGCGTATGAGTCGCCCGTTCTTGGGATCATCTGAATAGCCCGTGCGGCGCAGCAGTTGATCAGTATTGAAAACTTTTCAATGTTCGAGTACGGTTGCTTATCAACCAGCTCCTCAAACAGTTCCCAAAACGAATCGAAGTCCGACGCTTTTCCACTGAATTCCGGGATTTTCAATTCATTGCCCATGAGGCGTCGATCTAGTGATTGCCATAAGTTCCGTAGCCTTTGATGTATTTCCCGATTTTGTAAATAGGGATCCACAAGATCCGTGACGACGTTCATTGCTGTGTTTTGTGTCCCTTGTAATTCCGTCGACCGTCCCACATAGGGTGACTCTAGGCCCATTTCCTGTTTGACTGATATGTCCTGACATTTGATTTCGATCAGCCTCTTTTCCAGTATACGTAGTTGCCTTTCTGCTTCATCAACTATGTGTTCCCCATTCTTTGATTTCCAGTATTCATCGAAGTCTTCCATTACTTCTTTACCGTCGGTTCCCTTAGCTTCCATCAGCATTCTAGTAAGTGACGAAATGTTTTCCTGATATAGGTTCCAGGTGGACTCTTTCTGTCTTTCCAGTTTACCATACAATTCCTCAACGATGAGAGTTTTTGTTGCGAGGAACTGTTGCACTGTTACACGGAGTTTGATACTCCTCAGCTTCAGCAATAAGGCCGACTAGGCCGTTGAGATGTCTCGTAAGCTTCTGCTTAATTCCTTTTAGGTTGAAGGCAGCATACGCTGATGACATGGTCGATGATGCGCACAATGCGAAGGCTAAGGACGAATGGGCAGGCCGTGTATTTATGTGGTCCTGTTATCAGTCTCTTTCCTTTGAATAAACATTTTTTAGTCTTTCACAAAACATTTTTCCTGCTTGGGATAAACATTTTATCCCATTTTGTGAGATCTCAGAGTGACTCATCCTGGAATTCAACGAATGTTTTGAAATTCTTGTCGTCGAGTTTTATCTTGTCTCGACTTTCCGCGGAATTTGCTCGTGTCTTACTTTAGGATTTTCTAGAACTGTCACTTGTCGAAGGAAATTCCCTCAGATTCCAGATGTCATATGAGAAATTGTGCCTCTTTGAAAGATCTGCATTTTGTGGCCAAGCGATTGTTGAGCATCAATTTCCCGGTTTTCTTCGAGTTGTCCTTCTCTAGGTAGGTCTCACGGACCACCGGCCGGGTTCTGTTTCAAATTTTCCTTCTCCATTGCTGTAGCGTCTCCGCTACTCAGGTACCTTTCTTTTCCACGAGTATGAGCTATTAAACTATTACAGTTTTGCTCCGCCCGCTATCGCGCGCATCACACGGCAGGCTTTAGCGAAACTGGAGGGTCCATGGAATATCAGCATGTGGTACTCCATTAACCACCTCACTATTAAATGTGTTAGATTTTCCCAGTTTCGCTGAAGTCCATCGAGAATACGCGTGATAACGTCTGGAGCTGACCTGGCATAATTATCTCACAACTGTAAACATCCACCATTCTTCTTGAATTCAGATAATTTAGCGGTGAATAGGATTGCTGTCAGTCTCAAAATGAAAACGAAATATGCCTATCTATTATATAAAGCGCTAACTTTGTGTGTCGGTTTGTGTATCTGTATGTGTGTGTGTGTGTGTGTGTGTGTGTATGTATGTGTGTCCGTCCGCAAAATGAAGTGAGTGAGAAGGAAGCTCATGGGATAAACAAACCGCTAACAAATCGGGTACAATACCTTCATAGCAATGATTGTGTCATGGTCTCACTTGGTGCTGCAGTGGCAGCTGGATGCCGTGAAGAGAGTAAGCGAGTATAGGAATTAAGCGAAAAAAATATGCCTATTTACATAAGTGAGAGCTAAGGCTTATCATTTATTTACATTCACCATTATTTAGAACCCCGAAAGGATTAGCGGTTTAATGAGTTTGGGCTTTCTTGATAGGAACGAAAGTTATCATTTGCTGAAGACTTGATTGAATTCATGCAATAGACTGCATTAAGTAGGCTGGTCATACAATGATACAGTGTGCACGTACCACTACAAATACAATTTGTAAGTAGGGACGCTCTAGTGTCAGCGCAAGCCACGTAACGGAATCGACGACTTTTGCGTTCTGACGCCCCTTATCAGCCCTTATCAGTTGTAACCACTTTCCATCACCTACCAACAATGTCCCCGTCCCACCCCACATGACACCTGCGAGTATGGACGCTCTGTTGTCAACGCAAGCTGCGTAACGGAATCGACGACTTTTGCGTTCTGACGCCCCTTATCAGCCCTTATCAGTTGTAACCACTTTCCATCACCTACCAACAATGCCCCGTCCCACCCCACATGACACCTGCGAGTATGGACGCTCTAGTGTCAACGCAAGCTGCGTAACGGAATCGACGACTTTTGCGTTCTGACGCCCCTTATCAGCCCTTATCAGTTGTAACCACTTTCCATCACCTACCAACAATGTCCCCGTCCCACCCCACATGACACCTGCGAGTATGGACGCTCTAGTGTCAACGCAAGCTGCGTAACGGAATCGACGACTTTTGCGTTCTGACGCCCCTTATCAGCCCTTATCAGTTGCTATCGCTTCCATTCATGTACCACCATTGTCCCGGGACCACCCCACATAACACTTGTAAGTATAGGACGCTCTAGTACCAATATGAACGACAAAACGAAATTGGCGATGCTCGCTTTCTAGCCCCTCTTATCAGCTATTATCAGTCGTTATCAGTTCCTATCACGTACCACTTGAGTCCCCATCCCACCCCCTATAACATATGTAAGAACCATGGCGCTATCGTTGCTGTGACCCGAGCTACGAATTTCGTGACAAACACACACACACACACACACACACACAGACATACTTAGCGAATTATATATATAGTAGGATAGTACCAGATGGCTGGAAAATGGAATTTTAGCAAGAGAATAGTGACTGAGATATGTCGTTTCGGGACTTGATGGGAGTGTGTAGAAGGGAACGTGATAGAGGCAGCGAATGAGTAAGTGACATATGGCAGTCAAAATTGCCGGACTAAAAGACATACTTCACATTGTTCAGCAGCGAACCAGTGGTGTCCGTCCTTGTTAGGTCTTCTCGCCATGTCGCCGGCCGATTCATGGACGATGAATAATCGGTGTCGATTGAGTAGTAACTTATGGGGGAAGTTTCAACATTTCCACAAACTTCATGCGATCAGAAATTACCTACTGTTGCAAGTTGAAGTCTGGTTTTTCGATTTCTCAGCCAGCGGTTTGCGGTTATTTGAGTTTACCGTAATCTTTTTGAGCTTAGTTTGACCAATTTTTACCTCTGAAATTTTGGCCGATGCACCATTTTGAGACTGCATCACTGTCTCAATGAGGTTTGGTGGTTCGTACCGCTATCATAACTTGATCCGGATACCTTTTTATTTCATACAAATTTACAAGTATAAAAGGGAGAAAAAATCACACTAGAACGACATGCATATATTTGATGTACAAGGGCGACACTACGCTAAGAGCAACTAGGGGTGACCTCTCTCTCCGACCACATTGTTTTACCTCATTCCCAACTCTTTCCCAGACCATTTCCTTTCAAACTATCTTTCCCGTCAGTTGTGGGTCCGCCGAGGGAAGGAGAGTCTTCCCGTACTCACTGATCTCACCGATCAGAGGCCAAGACCATTCGACGTCGTAGAACGAGCTCGAAGGCAGAGCTGGCCTTAGAACCAGCGTCCGCCCGAGGTTCGCGGTGAAGGCGTAGCTTCGAGTCTAGCCGGATAGACCGGGCCTCGAGCCATCGTCCGCCCTCTTTTATATGATGAGGGCGTCGATGCTGATGAGTCATCGTGAACTCAGGGTTCACGACAGGGGCCAAATCAAAACTTCCGCTTGACGCAGGGTTGGATTCGTGAATATGAGTCGAAAGACGACAACTCTGATGACGACACAACATTTTGGAGCATGAGATGTTGACGAAAGCTTGCAGAGGTAGGGGTTACCGCTGCCTTAGCAGAGTGCGTCCATGATTCTCGGTTCTGCTTCGCATCGAGGATTAGTTATGTTCAATAAATGAGTGTGCCAGTAATATTGGATAGTTTATGTTCAAGTTTAAGCCCAAGAAAGGGTGGGGTAAGCCCTGCCACCGAAGAACGCCCGAAACAGACTACGCTTGTGGTGAAAAAAGCAGAGAAGTCCGAGTTTAGCGCTCAATCTTCGCTTAAGGACGAGTAGTAAACAAGTCGGGGAACATATGGACGAGTTTACTGCAATGCGTTTGGTGGCGCCATGCCTATCCAAGGTACACTCGACTTGGTCCAGTTCTGCCGCTGCTTTCAATACATTACCAACTAAGTTAGCAGGAGGATCGCTTTTGTGAGGGGAGGGGAGTGCTTTCAAAGTCCTGCTCAGCAACCAGCTCATTTTTCGTCGTGGAAGCGCCACATTCATTTCCTTGGCAGCCGAAGTAAGTGCTTCGTGTGGCGTCTATACTTCCGCGATGCCTCTTTATCACATCGCTTCCTTTGAGGACGGAATGTTCCCTGTCTTTTCCGGCATTTGATGGATTTTTTCTCATTTACAGATTATCTCCGAGCGGCTTTGCACCGATGGCGGTGGATCGGTTAGGGCCTATATCTGTCCTCGATATCCATCGCAGTCTAAAGGTATAGCATCATCATGCCGCATATCATCATGTCAGTCAACAAATACTCCTCACTGCATCTCACGTAGACTGAGCGCTTGCAGCCGAAATGCCTCCTCGTCTTTGATTGGCTGACTCACTCGTACAGCCAACCACAGACGAATGTGTCTAGCACGTGCTGTTGAGACCAGGGTGAATATCGGTCGAGGAAATCCTCGACAGGGGGGTCGTACCTGTTGGGCTGGTCCATGGGGGGTCGTACTCTTGGGGTCAGTAACAGAAGTGGTATCGTGGTGCAGATAGGTAAGAGGGTATAGCGCAGCAGAAAATGAAAATATCTGAAAAAAAACATGATATTAAATTTTCTTTGCAGGGCGTATTTGAAAGGCAGTACAAAGAATGAAAGTGCATCCCCGCAAAGAAGACTGCCACATGTGCGCACGCGCTGCAAAGGCACCTCCTCTGCCTATCGCTCGCTCCTTCTCCCTTAATACCTCGCTGAGAATGACACTGTTGTTAGGGACCCTGTCGCAAAAACGACAACCGTGAAGGAAAAGCGCTGGGCAAATGAAGTTGTTCTTTAGGTTGTAGGAGTTACGAAATGCGTTTACTACAATGCAGATGTGAAGGTCGGATGCATGGCCTATACTCAGAAAAAATTCGATGATGACGATTGCCCCTTTTCCTATTGCTTATGTTGGGAGGATGTTTTCTAGACCCATTTCAAGCGTTGCCAACAATTACACTTGCAATGGTGAAGGAGGGAGCGGATTTTCAGGTGGCAGGATCCGTCCTCGTTACATACTCGACGCCGATATTTTCTCAACTAGGAAATGTATAATAGAAGAAAGCTAAGAAGACCATCAGAAAGCGCAAACCTTCGCTTTCCAAAA